TGTGTGAATTTATATGTATATAAATTAATTTAAATAAATTATGTTATTTATTTTTATGTAAAATGATGATGTGTCATAATTTTGATGATGTGTACATAACTTGAAAGCCAAGTCATTGCCACATCATCATTTTTATTTGAGTTGGCAGACGCGGAGGGTTTTCGGTGAATTATTAACAAGTTTGGGGTTTTATTGGTTAATCATACCAAGTATAGGATTTAATTGGTAAGCAAAAAAGTATAGGGTTTTTTCGTTGACCTGGGAAAAGTATAGGGTTTTTATGGCGATATCCCCTATCGAAATTTTAGAATAATGACTACGATGATACGGATGACGTGGCAACCATTAGAAGCATACAAGTGGCATCAAGCGAATGAAAGCCTTGCTTTGAAGCAGAGTTTCTGGATTAGAAATTGCAATTAGCTCTTGTCCTCTTCCTCATTTGGGTTACTAACCTCAGTTACAGTTCCGTACCCATTGTTCAAGTTCAAGATTCTAAACAAAACCTTTTCCACTAGCTATTGTTGGCATGGCCCAAAACCGCCAAATCAGAAAAAGATGATGGAGCAAATTGTGGTAACATATGATGGATTTTGATATTAATTTGATTAATATATCATTTATTATCTATATAATATTATTTTGTGTCTTTTATTTTTAACTAACCGATAAATAATTTATTTATATACACACACAAAAACTTAGAGAATTTTTTTTATAAAATTCCTCGTGTCATTAACTTTTTTTTTTGATTCAGGATTAATTGGTCCAACTGGTATAAAAGAAAACAAAACTTTTTTTAATAGAGGTTCAAAGGGTATTCACCCGACTTTCCCGATGTTTTGGAAGATATAGTTGGACCAAAAATCTGATAAACTTTAGTATTAAATAAAAAAAATTTTCCCTTTGGATAACCATATTTTACCATTTACAAAATTGAGGTTAAGTAAAACAGAAGGCTATAAGAAACATAATAATAAACATTTCGAGTTAAAAAAATAAAGAAAGCTCGAATCTATAAAGAAGATATACTACGGTAGTGATGAAACCGAAGGCCGGTGATCTTGTCTTTCTCCGTCGAGAGCCTGTCTTGGAGCTGGACCAAACATGCTCAAGAACACCTTAAAGAAAAATACGCAAATTATTAAAAAGAACCATGGAGTTACTAATATTAGTTAAATAATATTTCCCAAGAAATTATATTTAGTGGGCTTGAAAAAAAAAAGTTTAGACAATGAAAAAAATCTGCCGTTTGTAGAAACAATAGACCTGACAACGTTACTGAATATTAGTTATGCATGATTTTGGAAAATATTGGTCTAATTGGCTAATTTTATTCTTTGGGGTATTAATTGTAGATATTAGAAACTATGGGTCATTAATTACAAAAAAAAGGATGTGTTTTAGTTTGCTGCAGCAAAGAGAGACAGAGGATGTTTGTTGGAAGGAGGAACCTTTGAAGACTTACAGGTAAAAAGACGAGGCCGTGGAAGAAACCAAGGAGGACTAATGCAAGGTACATCTTGAAATAGTATACCTATGAAATAAATATACGGTAAAATACGGATTAGAAGCCGGCGAAATGCGTTATATTCCCGACAACGATGCGAAGAAACAATCACATTTCATCGAAAACGCAGGGGATCGGATCAAAGAACGCATACCACAAAGACTTGAGATCTTGCAAAACCGAGCACGATCACGCCAACTAGCTTCGTCAGCGTGATTCCGCTGTTCAAAGAGTTAGATCTCCCGCTTAGCTTCGGAAAAATTATAACTTTCTTACCGGTTTTTCTACATTCGTTTAGTAAAATTGTACCTGAAAACCGACGCTCCCATTGTACCAAGTGCTTCTTTCATCCGCTGATTTCTGTCCCCGGAGCTTATCTGTTCATCACATGGAAGGTTCCACAAGATTAAGAAGGCGTAAAACATTCCGAAAAGAGATATATTGTTTCTAAGGATTCGGGTGCCATTTTGATGACAATATGGATTGGAGGAAGGAAACTGTACTCACTGAGAAAGCATGAGTTATGTGAACACAGAACTCGACGGCTATGCCTACCGACATGACGAGGTTGACAACCGAGAGTGCATTCAACTGGATATGGAATATCGCCATAACCCCCTGCCCCGTTTCATATTCGGTTAGCCGAGTCTATGCCGAGAGCTAGGGTGTATGACGAGTAACCGAGAGAGGAGATCGAACTTACCAGTAGGTCTATGACGACCATTGTGATCACCAGCAGAATAATCGCCGAGCTCCAAAAGCTGAGATATACGCCGAAGAAGAAGAAAGCGAAACAGAAAATCCATTTAGTAGTATACATTCAGGGAGACAGATTTGGTCTCGGGCCGAGGTTAGAGTACTTTATAACGGAACCGAGGTAAGAAGCGATCGATACCTGCACGTGACGACGAAGCAGACAAGAAAAACGGCACCTGTAAAATTGCAGAACATTCCAAGTCAGATCATACAAACACTAGAATGCATATTGCCTAAGCCAAGACTCTGATTCAGAAAGGCGAAATAATGGTCGTACGAATACGCAGGTCCCCTGTTTTACCGGTACCAATGGCGTTTAGAAACTGAAAACCCGCGGCAAAAGAACTGGATTCCAAAAGCTTTTACTTACCAATGGCTATGGAGAGGTTGATTAAAGCAGTCTTCCATATGTCAAGATATTGCTCAAAGAACATATAGAACACTGAATATGGAAAGATCTCCATCTGACAAAAAGGGGAAAAAAAGTGTTGCAGATTAGTCTGTAGGATCTCCATGTGGAAACTCTTCCCGAAAGCTTCCATGGTGGTTGATGCAGAGAAAAACATCGAGGTAACAGTTCGAGCAGCAGCATCCTGGTTCAAATGCTAATGTGTTAAAGAGTTTACCTTCAAGGAGCGGGAAACTTCCGAGCTAAACTCTCGAGCAGCCCTCATCGAATTAATGAAGTCGGTCTGAAATAACAGTTGAAACACCGTAAAAACACAATGGCAAAAGAGAGGGCTTTGTCTGAACCTTGCGTTTTATCTCGTGAGACGACATAGTACCTGCTTATTAAGGGGCGTGTGATATGTTCGGAATGACGAAGCTTGGATTATCCCCGATTCATAACCTTGACAATAAATGAAAAAGCTCGTTATTACAGAGCTCGGGTTCAAAAGCAAGAGAAAAGAAAGAAAGGCGAGGACGGAGGGGAGACCTCGTAGATCAACGCTGCTAGAATAAGCACCACGGCCACCTTTGGCGCAATCTGCAGAGGGAAGAGCG